TATATATGTGTATTATATATAATATAATATAATTCCAGCATTTGAAGTAAGTTAACATTCACTTTTAAAATGTTACACTTTTAAAACTTTTGAACGCTTAACTTTTAAATTCACCTTTAAAACACACTTGTTTCTTCTGAGACAATTCCCAGCTGTCTTGGTTTTAAAATATACTTTGCTTAAAGAAAGAAAATTCTTGGGTTATGTTGGAAGACAGTGGATGAAGACAAATGCAGTCCATGAAGCCAGATTTGCCCATCTGAGCCTCTGGAGAGTGAGCCAGTAATGGGTTTTAAAGATGCGTCAGCACCTGCCTACCTCCAAGCGTCAGTGGCGCATAATTTTAGAGAACAAACCTTTTCTTTCTATATTCATTTTCAAGCAAATGAGTACTGAAATGGGTAGATTATTACAATCTGACGATAGTATTGCTAGAATCATAAGTTAGCGTGTGGATGTCATGACTTGAATGGATTTTTAGTGTTACCTACATTATGTGTCTCAATTTTCTAAATGGGTCTGCTTTGCTTCGTAAGAAAAAATGAGAGTTTCTCCTTTGTCTCCCTTGGATTTTGGTTTGGGACCATGATGCAAAGAAAGGCTATGCAGTTCTTTCATAGCCCATGTTATGAGGCTTCATTATATAGGAATGTGCAGCAACTCCAGTGCCGGGAGAGGGTTACTCTTATCTCTCAAACCTCTCACCTGGGTTATTTATAAGGAGTCTGAAGTTGTTTGCTGGGTATAGGATGACTACTTCTTCACTGGAACTTGGTTTACTTTTAACCTTATTGACTGTTTCTTATTCCTTACTCATTGACAGAGACTAGTATTCCCAAAGGTTCCCTGGCGGCGGGGGGAGCACTCCCTTGAATGTTTGCAGCTAGGAGCCAGGGAAATGGGACTAATTCCCCATCTAGCTGTGGCAATTTGTTCAGGCCCAAACCAGGCCCCTTTACAGAGGATTCAGTGACTGATGTGAGTGGTGTTACATAACTTATTGTCTCCTCGAGTCAATGATACAAACTTCATTGTCCTCATCTGAAAAAAGAACAGGGAAGGAATTGTTGAGAGAGGGAGGATCCATCCTTACATAGTTTAATCTGCAGCATAACCTCCAGTAGTTAGCAGATCAGTGATGCGACTTGTATATTTAGCAAAAAAAAAAAAAAAAAAAAAGCGCTAGTACATTGAAATCCAGTTCTTACTTGGAAAATGACATTCATTTTAATTTCCGTGGGGTACATATAAGCGGAAAATGCATCTAACCAGGTTTAAAACCGTGCTTACATGTCCGCAAATGAACAGCTTCTTGAACAATACCAAATCTTCAGTAACACGCTTGAAGCAAAACACAAGCACTTGTTGGGGGGGCCTGCGCGCGGCGCCCGCGAGCGCCGCCTCCGTGAGGCGGGCATGGCGCCTTCCCCCCTTGAAGCGAGGCATGACACCTTTCAACATGCTCTTTGACCAGTGCTTTTAAAATTGCATCTCTGCTGTGTTAGGGAGAGTTTATACGACAAATTCTTTAAGTTTTCCTTAGAAATTGGGAAGTGCACGGTAGCAACCTACAGCGGAAAGAATCCAGTCTGGGGAAGTCTTGCGAATTAATTTAGTTTTATTTACTCTGGTTTCACAAAGGAACCTTTTGTGTTTATTGCTCAGGTAAAGTCATGCTTTAAGAAAAAAAAATAAACTACCAGAGTTCATTTTAAATTCTTTAAATCAACTGACAGATTCTTTTGATAGTATCTATTTATTTACTTGTGGTGAGTAAAAGAGAATACAGAATACATCAGCATCAAATAACAGCGCACCCTAGTCCAAGACTAATTGCTTCAGGAAGTCCTCCTGCATTTGTATTTATTTCACGGGGGCTTTTCTGAATGTTGCTGTGGTGGGTGTGGGGGAGGCTGGCATGAGTCTTGCAGCTCATAGTCTGATATGAATTGTCATGTTCCCCCTGCAGCTTAGCAATGCTTCCACTGCCAATAAACCTTAGGAAAAAAAGTACGCTTGCTGGGTACGCAGACAAGCTAAGCTGAAATTCTCAATATGGCCAGCGCCTGAATTTTTCTACTGTAAGATTAGAACTGCTGATTCCCCCTTCTTGTGTTATCACTAACCTGGAATGGACTTTGTAGAGGATCTTTCCATAGGCCTCCTCTCACCTCTCTCTGGCAGCTCTCCCCAAAGCTCAGGTGAGTTTTTTGGTCAGGATACTGAGTGCGTGTCTTGGAGCTGGAAGCTGCTGTCCTGAGGTGGTGAACTGTGTGTCCGTGTGTCTTGCAAGGATCTCTGCATTGCACAATGCAGCATGATGCAGCAACATTTCAACTCTCTGCAGCTGAGCTGGGTCTGTAACTGGAAGTGAGATATCCATGCCAAGGTTACATGGAGAGAAGTAAGGTATTATTAGTTCGGGCAAAGTGCCAGGCAGCTATGCCTGTGCTAGCTTTGCGCTCTGAGGTGGTATCTTCACCCTGAAGCTCCTTCCTGCCCGGGGTACTGCAGAGGCTCCTGCAGCTTTGCAGGTATACACACACGCGTGCACATGTATATGCACATGAATATACGTGCATACACACATATGTGCTGCGGCTGCAGATATCTGATAACTGGGGCCTTTTTGCAGTAAAAGCTGTTAAGAAAAAATATTCAGAGCTTTAATTTGTATTTCACAAAGCTAGACTGACTTGGTGTTCTGGGAGTGGTGGGATAACGCAGAGTAACGTTCATAGTTACAGCTCTTTTGGGAACTTTGAAGCTAGATGCAGGAGGAAATCGGAGCATACTTTTGTTTCCCTGCTAGATCATGCAGAATAATATAGTTCTTCTGACGTCTGTCCTGGCTGCTACTTACTTCTGAGAGCATTAGTTTTCACAGCTTTGACTTAGCTGGCGTCATTTTCTGTAACAGTTATTAAATTATCTACCTAAAGTTCATTTACTAGAAATCATAGCAGTTGAGTAATTATTTTGTTTTCTTTCTGACAATGAGCAAACATATTCTGCGTTTGAAAACCTTTTTTTAATGTAGTTACTCAGTTCATGCTTGTTAAATAGCTCCAATTTGGTAGATTACCATGTAGCATTTTCTTCAGAAATGCATATTACTGCATACTGTGAACCTCCGTTTTGGGGAGAGGCACGCGGCACTTGGAGGACTCGGCATGACAGAATTTAGCTCAGGAAACGCTGCCTGTAGCTGTTTGCATTTAGCTGGTTCCCTGAAGCACTGAGAAGCAGTATCCTGATATCACACTTCTGTCTTACTTTTTTGCTGTTGTTTGCTGTGACTACAGTGACTCAATTTCAGTAACAGGATGCTTTTCATGAAGTCAGGCTGTTTTAAGCTTAAGAAATACTATTGCAGATCACCAGTTTGATAATATGAATTTCAAAAAAAAAAACAAAACCAAAAAACCAAAAACCCCCAAACAAAAACAACAACAGAAACCAAACCTGCCCTCCCTTTGAAGTGTTACACCTTTAGGTACCTAACTGTAGTTGTTTCTGTAAATGGTTCATACCTCACTGAAAGGAAAAAACGCAACTGCATACTTCCAAACCTGTTTCACGATACCCTACGTTATAAAGATTATTTATCCTGATTATAGCAAACCTTACTGTGGAATCACAGGGAATTGTCTGGTCAGCTTTTGAAACATAATACAATATTTACGATGGCGGTGGTTACAGGTATGCAACAAATGCTTGTAAGTAGAGCACTGGTGACTGAATGATTCCCTCCCGCAGCATCTAAAATCTGCAGGAATTGGTTAAACGGGACTGGAGAACAAGTAGTTTTTGATAGATAGGAATAGTTGCAAATAAATTACCATTTCATTATAGCAGTAACAGTAGCCCTAATCATGTTCAAAGGGCCTCTCTTTTACTTATTATTATACAGTTACCCAGTAGAGGAGCTTGCAGTATAATTAAAGGTAAATTGAAGCAAATGCCCACTGTAAGTAACAGAGCGGAAGAGGGCCTCTGAGGGTAACCAGGTAGGCGCCCAGCTGCTTTGAGTCGAGGTCTTGGGTGGGTGTGCGTGTGTTCTTCAGGCATCTACAAGGCTTGTGAGTTGGCTCAAGACCAGTACGACTATGTGGCTTGTTTTGTTTTAAATTAACACTAGTCATTCAGAACCTGATTTGTTACTAGTTACGTACAAAATGAAATGAATTGATTGTAAGTTCCTAGCTTGAGCTGAATATATTACATAGTGTCACCCCCAGATGATTTTGTCAGGGTACAATGACATATAAAATTAGAAGCCGAGTGCTATTATCACACACTTGCGATAGTCTTACATAGAACCAAATATTTTTGTTGGCAGGTAACGAAGCAGAAAGAATATCATGTGTTAGAGTAGCAAGAGCTTAACAGATGTTTCAGTGAACTAAATTTTCAAATCCTTTCACATTA